CGGATTTCATTTTGAAAAAAACTGTGATTATAAAAAAAATGGCAGACTGGGTTAGATAATTTGGATACTCTAGCCCAGGGTAAAAATTATATTAATAGATTGATTAATAATCCGAACATTAATAAAAATAAAAATAATGATATCTCAACATTTTTGTGGGGTGGGGTGGAGAGTGTGTGACACCAGTTCTCGTTAGATCACTGAAGTTAAGCACACTTGACCACAGCCAGTAACTGGATTGGTGTCCAGACTGGTGTTCACGGGTTCGATTCCCGTACTCCACACAAACCTGTGGTTTCAAAAACATCTGAAGCCGACATCTGGTTAAGCAGTTATGACCACCTGACAGATGTAGGAGGACAGAGGGGTGGCTGTCAACAACTCTCGCAGCGAAAGGGTGCGTGCTTTCTACTCAACAAGAAAGAAGCTTCAAGTGGGATTGATCCAAGTGAATGATGATGAAGAGAGGAATGGTGGACAAGCAGGGAGAGTCTTTGGTTGCCAGCTATAGGTACCTGGGGGTATCCAATCCGGGCTCACAGATGTTAGGGAGCAATGAGTGTGATGTTTCCTATCAGTATGGCACCCGGGCCTCATTCCAGTATATCAGAAGGATTCCTGCACTCTATATTCTCAGGCCTAAGAAGAATCTTAGGCAGCTGGAATCTTGTCAACCCTCTTCTCAGAATGAATGAAGCGTGGATGGATGAATGTGCTGCCAGATTACAACCCCTGGTAGATAAATATAAAAACCCAGACAACACCAAACTTTCGCAATAGAAAAAATTCCGAGATTTGATCTTAACAACCCGATCATGTCCTGGGGACAAAAAAATCTCTTTTAAAAAAACATTTAAGAAAATAAATAACAAAAAAGAGATTTACCAGGTATATAGCACCAGGACAAAGAAATCAGGCCAAATTAATCCAAACCAGAATCTAAACAAACAAAATATATGCTATATGAGTAATCAGTACGACATTTTTAACCCAGAGGGGCGACGGAGATTGATTTAAAGATTTTTTATTATTTGATTGCCGAAATCAAGAAAATTATGAAATAAATTATGAAGGAGATAATTTTTTTGGATATATATATGAAAAATGTTTATATAAAAACATAAAATCATTCATAATTATTGATAATTCGCTATATAAAACATTACATAATGGTAATCTAAGATTATGTATTCCTACATATTTACTAGAAAAAGTCATATCTCGTGTACACAAGAAACTTTTACATGGCTCAAAACGTAAAATCAAATCAGATTTTAAGCGTTATTTTTTTCATCCTTTATCTGGAGTTAACATTTCTGAAAACAACAATAGATGCCTCACTTGCCAGTGTAAATCTATTTCACAAATACCAGGAAGATATATAAGTAATGTAGATTTAAACCTAAATCTAGCCAAGAAGTACTAGATAAATCGATTATTCGTAATATTCCTAATTCTAACAATTACACATGTATTTTAATATTAGTAGATAGATATACTATGTATACGATTGCACTTCCACTTTTAAGTAATGAATCTTCTATAATTGAAAATTCGTTAAGAATGATATTCTCTACGATCGGATTCTCAAGATGTGTCCTCGCGAATAAAAATCTAGAATTGAATATTGCTCTTAACAGATTAATAAATGATATATGTTTTCAAATTTTGACAGCATCAGAAGTAAATATCGAAATCGAAAATTCTTTAAAAACATACGTTTATGATAACGATCTTAATTCTGATACATCAAATTGGATTAATTTAATCTCCTCTGCTGTTGAAGATCTAAATAATCTCCCTGTTGATTCTTCTCATATGTCACGAAAGGAATTTTTCTATAAATCTACAGGAAAAAATCTCTTTAACATGCTAGGGTGTACAGAAATATTTAATCATGTTAATAAGGACATTGAGGCAATGAATAAATTCGTACAAATTATGGATTCTAATAGTCAAGCAACAAGAAAAAAATCTAAAAAACATAAAAAATTGAAAACTATTCATACAGGCGATATTGTATTTATAGAGAACTCTGAAATTGATACATCTAAAGGGCGAACCACATTGTTAAAGCTGGAATTATTCCAGGTATTGAGAAAAAATAGACATGCAAAAACTATTGAGACTATTTCACTAAAAACAGGACAAAAATGCATGTCTAATAAAAACTTAATTCGGAAAATATTCGTAAATGATTTTATTTCCCAAGATAATGCGGAAGAATGTATAAGAATAATATTAGAAAAACTTATTGAACCAGAAAATATTAACTTTAATAGAGAAATGTATGAATGTAATTCAAATAAAAACAACAGTACAATTACTGCAGTACATCCGGAATACTACATAACAGAAATCGGAAATATGCTTGAATCAGAAAATGCGTTCATGGACACGTATAATTATAAACATTATCCACCTGATGTGTAAGTTGCTCCTCGCAATCTAGTGTAGCAGGAAAGTGATGTGTTGATCTTTCCTCCGATCATAAAGGGTCTTTTTCTCCTCTCTCTTTCATCTCCCCCCCCTCCCCCCTTTTTCCATCCCTTGTACAGTTCTAACGGATTTATTCGTGTTTGTGTGTGAATTCTATAAAAAACCCAAGCCACGCCAATAGTTCCGTTATTCCAGAGGCCTGGGTGCTGGTGGGATGGCCGGCCAGCTCCCAGGGAACTAGGGTTAAGCTCTAGGCTAGGGTGGAGTGAAATTTGGGGAAAAATGGCAGTTGAAGACCAGCTCCCTAGTTAATAGGTTCCCTTGGAGATCTCCCCTCACTCTGAACCATTCTCAATTCATGCAATTTAATTCGTATAGTATTTTCCTATAGTATTTGTATCTTTGTAAATAATAATGAAGTGTAAGAAAAACCGACTCGTCGAATATTAGTTCAAATGAGTAGTTGTATTGATTCATTTTTTCTCAACAGACCCTCTGGGTGTTTTAATTAGGGGTCTGGATCTGTGTGTTACATATGCTATTAAATCCTGATGCTCATCTGTAGGGCTGTGTACAATACGTACAGCTGTTTATTTCTGACAGAAATACAAGTGTCACTTGTAAACAGCGGCAGACACAGAGGGCTATGACATAGTACATGAGGCTATTGGCAAACAGCTGTTTATTCCGCAGCGGAAAATCTAAGTCGGACCGATGCCTTTGCGCTCAAACCACTCCCATGCTCAGACCGGGCTAGGTGCGCAAGGTGCGCTCATACCGGGCGATGCACCCCTCATATCCTCCTTATAAGCGCGGCTCTATCCCGTCTCTTTCAGTCTAAGACATGTCCTGTAACTGTTCTGAACAACAAGCTCAGCGTATTGAGTGTATGTACTGTAACCCACAGTCTTGTATATGCGAAGAAGGTGATACTGAACTTTGTATATTTTGTAAACGAGAATTTATTTACATCCAATCTGACAATGACACAAGTTCCGTCATTTCTCAAGAAGATTGTTCCAGCCTATCATCTAGAGCCGGAGCAAACTCCTGCATTCAAAGTCCGGAGCAGCATTGTCGTATTTTCACATTAAATCATCTCAGAGTAATGAATCGAACTCATTTACTTTTATGGATAATGATACACACTAAGTCTAATTATTTTATCAGATTGGACCTTTATGTAATGCACTATCTTGGAAACCTGATACTTTCATATATGGGACTAATCTTATACTTGGATTCAATCCTGATATTACTCATCATCTTGGTAACCTGATATTTTCATACATCGAGTTAATTCTACTTTCTAATTTCGAATCCACTCTAATATTACTCATAATCATTGCAACCTGATAACACCCTCTCTCTCTTTATGTAAACATTTCATGCATGTATTTATTTATAAATCATTGTACATTACAGCATTATATTATTATATTATGTACTTTGACATTATAATTACTACAGGCGAATCATGGTCTTTATACAGCATGATTCTCAACTTGATCTTTAAGAATATGATCAGTTGATATATTATTACGTACAGATAAGATCATTATGTTGATCAATCCCTCAACTATTTCCTGATCTTCTGTTTTCCAGGTTTGTTGGGCAACGCACTCCTTCATCTTCTGGAGCAAATCTAGCTTGAAACCTTGCATCTAGTTTGAAACCAAACATCTAGCTTGAAACCTAGCATCTAGCTTGAAACCTAGCATCTAATTTGAAACCTAGAATCTAGCTTGAAATCTATCATCTAGCTTGAAACCTAACATCTAAAATCTAGCTTGGAACCTCGCATCTAGTTTAAAACCAAGCATCTAGCTTGAATCCTAGCTTCTAGCTTGAAACCTAGCATCTAGCTGGAAACCTATCATCTAACTTGAAACCAATTATCTAGTTTGAAACCTATTTCTAGCTTGGAACCTAACATCTAGATTAAAACCTAGCATCGAGTTTAAAACCTATCATCTAGCTTGAAATCTTGCATATAGCTTGAAACGAAACATCTAGCTTGCAAATCATTCTGTACATGAACTATAGATAGAGGGACATATAGAAATTAAAGGTGAAAATTATAATCAGTAAGGAAGACAATAGACATATTGCTATAGACATCTTTTAATATCTAAAGAGAAAATTAAAAAAGTTTGACTTAATATATACAAGAGGAAGATACACAGATATATAGATAGGAAGAGATCAAATGTGAAATCCAAGTCCACAGTATTACATACCATACACAACATTATTAAATTAAACGATAGTATAAATCGACATTTTCAGTGAAATAAGCAGAAAGTAGATCATAGATTAAAAATACTTATGAATCATTAATGAGATTAATATAATGTACAAAAAGTGAATAAAAACAGTATAAGGAAAAAATATAAAAAAATATATAATATTGTAAAATCTTCTTTGAAATATAATGTACGTTGTCGTTTTATAATAATATTATCTATCAAGATAAAACATTTGTTACGCTGGTGATTGGGCAAACCTTATACGCCCATGATTTTGCAAACTCTGATGTGAAAACTTTTCGATCTGAGGATTTTGCAAACTTTACAATCTGATGATTTTGCAACCATATATATATATATAAATTTGCAACCAGCTAGACAGAGAGTAATTTAACAACCACAGGTTTGCAATTTTGCACCCTTGTCTATTTACCTGCATCGCCTAAGGTGTGTTTTAAATCTTTGCACATTGCAATCTGTGCTTAGAATTCTCAGACCGTCTAGAAGTCGGGAACCTGAACAAGATAAATATATATATTTATAAAAAAATATGAATATAATCTTATGAAACCTTTAACAAAATAATTTTTGATTATTAATAATAACCAGAACCAGAACCAGACAATATTTTTTTTTCGCAATCCTGGCTAATGTTTTGCACTTTGAAATGCAACTCACTGAAATTTGACGAACATTAAAACTGCCATTGTTCGTTTTAACAACATTTTTTAAATTGATCATAAAGAAGCACTGTTAGATAAAGTTGACAACATTTTCTAACGAAGAAATAATAACAACAAATAATTTTTGGAGAGAAAATAGTTTTGAAAAATTAGATCAAGAAATTCTAATCTAATATTTTTAGATATTTTGGGAATTTTTTATAAAATTCTAGTTAAACTGTTCCTAATATACTGAAAACATTAACTCTTTATCTGCTGAAAAAATTAATAAATTGTATTGGCTACCATTTTCTATTTTTATTTTGGTACAACCTGTGTGAATGCACATTGTTAAGTGTACGAGCTAGGCATTCATTCCAGCCGTCATTGGATTCTCTCGTCTAGACCATGCAGCTATACACCTAAAGATAGATAGATACTTTTATTAAGTGTCAGGGTTCAGGGAACATTTATTAAGATCAAGAATTAGAGAATAAAACTTAATATTCTTTTGGGGAAAAATTATCAGATATTTATAATTCCATATTTGAACTACAGACCATATATATACACGTATATACACAAATATATAAGTATTGTTCAAGTTTCAGTTTCTTTAGAAGACGACATTTCAACGCATTTAATTATATTAAATTATACACATATATTCTACAATACCGAATATTCATTTCGTGTAAACGACATTTTTACTACGAATCAACGACTATTTGAATCGTTAAGTTAAAAAACTCATTAAAGTCACTCATCAATATGTCATTAAACGACATTAACATTGAGAACTCAGTAAAAGAGTTAGAGAAGTTAAAAGCTCTTTTAGAGCTGTATATTCTTAAAAATGCATCTAACCGTGAAAGCCAAGGGGAGATTGATGAACTTCTTTTAAAAACGACTTTGGGCTCCGATCAACAAGGAACGCAAACGAATGTTGCAGACAAAATAAACATAATAAAGTCGAAACTTTTACAAACAAATTCTGGTGATAAAGTTACCGAATTTAAATTCGATATAAAAACGTTTAGCCTAGAATCCGTTTTAGAAGATTTAAATAAATTCAATTTGATTGTAGACGACTATATCGTCTCATTTGGGAATAATAATATTATATATATATCTAAAACGTGGGAAGACGGGTCCGCAGAGTATAAAAAGGACAATTCGAAAACTAAATACGTAAAGATATCCGATACAAATACACCCAAACAAGGATATACCATAACAAATTCATTTACATTTGGAATCCAAGGTCAAATTCAAAAACTGATCTCATACCTTGATAATGATCGCAAGATCATTAATTGGGAATCGGTCCTTAATGAGTTCAAGGGGTTAGCAAAAAGCTCGGGATATACTTGTAATGATGTAAAAATTGGCTTAATGGGATTATTAAGACTAGGAAATTTGAATCAAGATCTATATGAAGATATGTCAATTGATGAGATCGCAAATAGTTTAATTAGGAGCGTTAAACCTATATATAAAAGTAGTATCCTTTGGAATACTTTAAGTTCTCTTGAAAGACAGATAAATACGCCCCTTCAGTTAGTTTTAGCAGAAGCAGAAAGTTATATAAGAAAACTTTTTCCGGATGAAAAACAGAAAAGGATACGCGAAAATTACTTTTTTATCGCACTCACCAGCTTTGTAAACGACTCATTGTCTATGGAAATTAGTAACGAAATTAAACGTAAAAAGGAACTTAACGAATATTATTGTTATGACTATTACAAAGAAAGTTGTATTAAGTTAGAAATGAATGAATCAAATATACCTACAAAAATACTTAAATACGGTAGAAATTTAAATACTGTACAAGAAGATACTTTGTTTAATGTTAGTTTAAATAACATGAATATACTACCTGTCAGTAAGTCGGAAGAAGATGAGAACCACGTATATAGTTTCTTTCAAGGTGCACATCCACCGAATTCAATGCACAGACCTAAATATTATAATTATGATAAAGATACATACGAAAATGTTCATGACACCCAACCTATTCCCGCACATTTTTGAATTTTTTCTTTTTAAAGTCAATTATTATTAAAAGATTATTATTTGTTCAGTCTTTGGACAGGCTTTCGTGGGGTTGGAGCAGGCTTCCGCAGGGTTCGAACAGGGTTCTGCTAACTACCTGGGTTCGAACAGGATATTGCGGGGTTCATGGCCGCATGGCCCCCCCCCCCTCTCCAGTTCCAAAGGGCAAACAGTCCCAAATCTCAACCAGGCTTTACTCCCTAGTTATAAATGCCACACAAATATTTTAAAACCTCTTTATTATGCTGCTTTTACAGCTCTGTTTTTTTTTTCTAAAATGAAACTCATTCATTGTATGCAATAACATTCTCTTATTTTGGATCAAATTCTGTGACGGATGTATGTAAAGTCTATTGTGATATGTATATCATTCCTTATTGATCAACAAAGGAATTGAGTCTGTGTAACAAACTCTGATTTTCTAATACCTATATTTTCCCCATCTAATGGTGCAAACCTTTGATATTTCAAACTTAGATTCTAACAGAATTCATAATTATTTCAAACTTAGATTTTTTCATCTAACAGAATTCATTATTTGAAATATCTAAGGTCTACACCATTGGATTACAAAGATATAGAGATTAGAAAATCATAGTTTGTGACAAAGACTCAAGTGCATTAAGTGCATGATGCATTAAGATTTTCAAAGAATTATTTCTGAACTAGACTAATGCAGCAAAAATCGGGTTTACACCAAATTTGAGGATGTTTTTTATTGCATATTGTTTTAGGTAGCTTTCAAATGGCATTGTAATATATTTAATTTTTCACTGATAATTAAAAATTGATTGTTAAAGCTGGCTGATAAAAGGAATCTAAATGTTTATTAAAAGCTAAAGTTATCAATTCTTCCTTGTTTTATGATCTACGAGATATCCTTTCTTCCTTGTTATTTTTATTATTTTAACTTAAAAAAGCTTAACTTTTTTTAGTCGAGGAACTGATTATGAAGCATGAGTTACTTTCAAGAAGCAAATCAGTTCAAAAGAAAGAACCTAAATTAAAGGTAAAGTAGATTAAATGTATCGAGTTCCAAAACCAAAATTTTCTTACCTTTCAATCTCTTTGAATCCGTTCCATCATTCTCTTCAAATATATCCTATCTTTCTCTTTAAATTCGTCCCATCCTAATTATTAAATCTGTCCCATCCCTCTCCTCAAATATATCCCATCTTTCTCTTTAAATTTGTCCCATCCTACTATTTAAATCTATCCCATCCCTTTCCTCAAATAAATCCCATCTTTCTCTTTAAATTCGTCCCATCCTACTATTGAAATCTGTCCCATCCCTTTCCTCAAATAAATCCCATCTTTCTCTTTAAATTTGTCCCATCCTACTATTTAAATCTGTCCCATCCCTTTCCTCAAATAAATCCCATCTTTATCTTTAAATTCGTCCCATCCTACTTTTTAAATCTGTCCCATCCCTCTCCTCAAATATATCCCATCTTTCTCTTTAAATTCGTTCCATCCTAAATTCTTAATCAGCCCCATCCTTCTCTTCAAATATATCCCATCTTTCTCTTTAAATTCGTCCCATCCTACTTTTTAAATCTGTCCCATCCCTCTCTTCAAATATATCCCATCTTTCTCTTTAAATTCGTTCCATCCTAAATTCTTAATCAGCCCCATCCTTCTCTTCAAATATATCCCATCTTTCTCTTTAAATCGTCCCATCCTACTTTTTAAATCTGTCCCATCCCTCTCCTCAAATTTGTCCCATCCTACTTTTTAAATCTGTCCCATCCCTCTCTTCAAATTTATTCCATCTTTCTCTTTAAATTTAAACTTCCGCCATTAAAATTTCCCACTCGATCGATCCCAGAGAAAATTGTGAAAATCTCAGAATGATTTTAAATGCTGATTTTCAGAGTTCAAGGCTAGGATTCTTAATTAATAGAAAAAAGATTGCCCTGAAACTCTATTCAGTGTTTGCGTGGAGAAAACACAATATTATTATTAGTCAATATTCTGGGGTAAAATAAATATTTTCAAAAATTTAACCCCCACCTTCTGATGTGCTTTTCTTCTAAAAAAAGTTCAACCTTCTTGATTTAGGGACAAATTAGGTTAGCTAAAAAGATACGTTTTCATATTTGGATACAGTAAAAAATTAAAGTATTAAATTGAATAATTGTCTTTTATTTATTTTAGTTTGACGAAATGTGGAGTATGTGTGGCGACGAATATAAAAGAATCAAAGTTGATTAAAATCAGGTATTACAAAAAATTTCCTGCAGTCCTTTAATCCTTCCCGTTTCCCGCTGATAAAAAAAATCATCTCTGTTCCCTTTCAATACATATCTTTATCCTTATTTTTATCCTTGCACCCCCCATCCCTGCGGTTTCCTACATCCAAAATTTTGAAAGTTTGTACAATGAAAGATCCATTATCTTAACACTTACGACATTGCAGAGTATATGATTCAGTGATAGCCAGAAACTCTGTAATAGTAAGACAACTTTAAGAATCAAGTTACAACTTTAAAAAGTCCAATGAGAATGAGAAACATCGATTGTGCAGTGTAATAAGACCCATTTCACTAAATTAGTGATTTAAAAAGTGTCTAGTAAAACTATTTGCTTTGTAACAACATCAAATACATTATTGTCGTCTTCCTATTTCATTGTTTTCTGGTTATGACTGTACATAAAAAACTAAGTTAATGGTCTAATAAATTATTTGAATGTTACATTGGTTGTAGTCCACATCTGATTTAACGCATGATAAGCATTCAACGTGTACATAGCAGTGCAAGTGGACCGCCCCAGCCGCTAAAGCTGAAAATCAGAACATTTTTTTGCAACTGTCGCACTTGCCCAGCCTAGAATTTTCAAGGGATCAGTCTAAAACTTGGAGGGTACCCTCTCCATTCTGGCTAGCCCGTATCAAATTTATACTACAGTTTCGTTATTTTTATTTTGGTCTTAGTGGTTTTTACTTCATTTCTGTAATTTTTTTTTGTACAATTTTGTTACCAGGCATTCCTGAGTTGTTTCCTAGACATTTATGATTTAACCCTCCATGTAAAGATAGAATTGCGCGATTTACAACGGTACCCTTGTAACCTTTATCTGATTAGAAATATGAAAGAAACTGTCTGTTTTCTGACTAGATAAGTATTTCTAGCTTTTGTGAGTTTCTCCGTTTCTCCGTTTAAACAAAGAATGTGCAAGTCACTTTAACAGTAAACCTGCAAATGAAAATTAACAGTTAGAAGAAAAAAACATGGATATCTAATTTATACTTGATCAGACAAAGCTTTTATGGGTGACTGTTGTAAATCGAGCATTGCCATCTTTGCACTTGAGGGTCATTTGAAATTATGCCCCTTATCGAGTTGTGATTTTTAGTCTAACTTATTAAATCTGTTGTCTAGGCCGGCGCGCTGGGGTGAAATTTTGTAGTTAATTTTTTTCCGTTTTGATTTTTTAAATATTTATCTATATTTCTTTAAAAAATTGTAACGGTTTTAACCAAACTTATATCTAGATGTTGTATATTTATGTTTATGTTTATGTTTAGATTAATAAATTCATATATCTTTATATTCTTCAATTGATTGAATATTCATGTACACTACAGGGTCACTCTGCACGCAGTCTTCCAGAGAGAGGAACGACAAGACTTGAAAGCCATATTTTATGATTAGTAAGACAAAGTTGAACCTACAGGACAAAGTACTCCTCTACTTCTCGCTATAACTTGTACCGCCTATATTAATAGAAGTGGTTCAATTGTAATAACATGGGTTAAACTACTTTTTACTAATTATGAAATCTTGCCTCCAATATCATTTTTTGTCTGTTCTGAGTTTTTTAGTAAGTAAGTCTTTTGATGTACTTCGATCTAAACTCTCTTGAAAATTTATGGATAATTAGTAAAATTGAATAAATCTAAGCTAATTAAAGGGTTTTTGATTCTATTCAAAAGTAAGTAATCTACACATACAAGTCGGAACTTGTACAAACTCTCTTACTGATCAAATAATTAAGCAATAAAATTTACACCTGTTCGGCCGGTTGGGGATTTGATGAAGAAAACTGTAATTTGATTGTGAACAATTCTTTTAAATTAATTAATTGTGTCTTGCATTTGCATGTTCAAAACGGCTGATCCAACTAGCAGAACCCTGATCTTCTATTCAAACATGAAATGTATGTTGTTGATAAAATTCGGTAATACATCTGTACTAAAGTAAAGGAGGGTTGGTTGAGTCTGGTGGCAAGGAATGTAGTGGCCCTACTCTATCTCCAAAAGCACAGTATTTAGTTAATACTCCAACCTTTTAAAGTTATTTTGAGCATGAAATTATTAATTTAATCTCCTGTTCAGCGAAATAACCAACCTTAAATTCCCTACTTTTTTATTTCCAAGGAGGATAATTACTTATCCTCCCTATTTACAGGGAGGATAATTACTTATCCTCCCTCTTTACAGGGAGGATAAGTAATTATCCTCCCTGTGATCCATACAGATTTATCAAATAAATAGTTCTCTAATTTAATTTTATTTTTACATTTATCGCTCTCTCAATCAATTTTGAATAAAATAGTAAACTACACCTAGTTTAATATTTGATCTAGGAAAGATCAAAACATGTACATACAGCTTTACTGAGCTGTCATCAAATATATTATATTACATCATTCTTTTCGGGTTTACATAATTACATTGTAAAGTTGTTCCCATGAAAANATAAATAAATCATTTTTTTATAATTGTAGGATTCTTTGTAAACAGTAAAGTGTGTGTATCGTTAAGGACTAATGGATCATGAAATGTCATTGTGCTTTTGACAATTTCACAATCGCATTCGTATTCAGCGCAAAATTTTTTTCTTTTTTAAAGTTACAGTAATATTCATTCTCAACAATATATGTACACCTTCCTGAATCATAG